GAACCTAAATGTATTGACTTTGGCTTTATTAAATAGTAGACCAATTTAAAAAGACATAGTCATCACTTTTTTTTATGAATTTGTGCTAGAATAAAGATGGTTAATTTAATTTTAATGAAATGTTTTATAATTTATTGCAATTAAGATTTTGATTATCATTTTAAAACTTGAAGTTAGAAATGGCAGAAAGTAGGAAAAAAAATATCATTATCATTACATGTATTTTATAAATATTTATTGAATATGATTTTTAATATAATGTATCAAAATAAAAGAAATGTGGGGATTTAAAGCTGAAGTGACTATTTCACTTTATAATCATCTTTTATGAGTCTTGCATTTCTTTAAATTTAATTATAATATAAAAATTGTAGCTAATATACAAGTGGCCAGCTATTACTTAACAGAAATTAAATTGAGGCAAAAGAACTGAAAACCTTTTTTGTTTTTTTGTTTTTTTACATATTTTTCTATTAGTTTGCATAGCGAGAATCGCTGACCAAGCATTTATGCTGCCATAAACACATCTGGATATATATGTAACATGCTGCTATATGTTCTGGTAAAGTGTGCAAAAACAGGACACCTGTGGCGAACTGCTGTTGATTGGAAAGTTGAATTAAACATACTTATTATTAAAGGGAATGCATACAAATCGGTACATTCAAGAAAGTTCAATAGTAAACATTCATTTCTACATACATTTTTAGACTGAAAGGCAGGTGGGGATTTGGCTTGATGAATCTATGGAAACTATAATTACACTTTCAATATCCTGAGACAAAGCATTATAAACTATTAGCTCAATTCTCCTTTATATTAAATTAAGATAATAAATTTTCAACTCGGTTAAAAGTTTTTTTTATACGTCATTATTATCTTTTATTTCTACAGCAATTATCAGGGGGAAAAATAGAATTTGAGATTTAATTTTACTCTGTATAAAGTTCCTGGTCGGAAGATTTTCTTTTTTCATATTTCTAAAAAGTGTGGATGGATTTGAGCCTTTTTGATTTTTTAGGTTTATAAATCAGTTGGTTTTAGCTGTCGTCTTTCTAACTTAAGCTGTGATAATTTCTGTCTTTGTTGTCTACTTATGGCAGTGAAGGTGTGAGTAAATGCTTTTTTTAGAAGGAATACATTTAGGTTTTTATTTATCTGATGTTTTGGGGGACAAATAAAAAAAGACATTTAAATATAGATTGTTAACATTGAAAATGAGGAGCTGCTGCTGTTAGTTTACAGATGTTGTTTATGGCTGGATCTTTAATTGTTACATATTCATGAACTGTAAAATCTCTTGATTTTAAGCTGGCTGTAATTCACACCCTCAAAGCAGTTCCATAAAATTCAACCAAATTTTTGGTTGAGTTTTTGGTTGGTAGTTGTGTCCAACTTTTTAACCTATCTGTATTGGTCAAAGTGCAAACCAATACAAACTGGTTATTAATGACATTGAAAGCCAGAGCCAGGGATTGAAACATCAACCCTTTACTTACAGGGCAAACTTCTGCATCCAACACCGCTGTTACCAGTAACACTCCTAGGAGTTTAACACTATCCACCCATTCATCCATTTTCTTCCACTTTATCCGGGGCCGGGTCATGGAGGCAGCAGTCTAAGCAGAGGTGCCCAGACTTCCCACCTTCACCTATAATCATGAGATCTGGCTAATGACCGAAAGGACAAGATCGCAAATACAGGCGGCCAAAATTAGTTTTCTTCGGAGGGTGGGTGGGCGCACAATTGCTGCTCTATGTGGGTCACCCTGTCAGCTAAAGGAATGTTTTAGAGTCTCTACACTCCAGTTAATGATTAATCCATAACTGAATTAGTAGACGTATATTTCAATAATCGATTAATCACGATTTACCCGAATAATTGTTTCAGCCGTAAAGCTAAGGACTCTTTATTACAATGTTTATTACTACTATCCTCAGCAATAAACTGTCCTCTGTATATATGTGTATATATCAGTAAACGGAAAGCTACTGAAACTGGTCTCACCAATCTTTAAACACTACACTAAACTCCACAATGTCCAAAGTCTAAAGCAGACGTGCTAAATGATGCATGTGGAATCAATGAGGTTCAAGTTAAGCTTACAGTTTGCCAACAATATTTGAAGACTTTGGTTTAAATAAAACGTTGGTGGTTGCATTGTCTCTACTGATATGTTGGCAATGTTTTAGTTTAGTCCCAAACTGATGCCGCAATGTTTCTGCTTCAGTGAATGTTTATAGTCAGTTGAATCCAAAGCTGTAGATCTTGAAAGGCAGGCAGTTAATAATCCAAGCTTAGTAGAATTTTAAGACACTCTAACAGGTCAAAGACCAAATCTCCGGATCATACACCTCACATAATGTAACCTGACAGTGTCTCTTTACTACCTATTGTGTGTGGAGGTGTATGATGAATGTCCCACTCTTTATGATGAAATAAGAGCCTGTCTAGCTGATATGGTTGAGAGAAAAACTGACATCCACGTCTATGTCAGGGGCAGATGAATAATTGTCTCTTAGCATCTGACTACAGCTTGCAGGAGCGCTGGTATCTGCCAGAACAGATGAACTGCCAGGTTACAGAATAGGCCCTGAGGCTGGATTATAATTGATCGTGCAAAGACAGGAAAGGTTTGACATTGAAGGGGGTTTCCATTGGCAATTTATCTATGCTCTTTGGACATGTGCTATTTCTGAATTTATCTGTGAGAAATATTGAATGCAACAAAGAAGCGTTGACACGGTGGCTATGAGACCAGCCACCAACACACAAGCTGTATTTTCTTAAACAAGCATATCTACCCTTCCCCTGGTCTGCTTCTGCTCAGCCTGCCCAGGGCTGTCTCTTTCCTATGAAATAATTACTACAAATTTAGTGCATTCGCATGATTGGATACATGGGATTTTCCTGTGTGTAAATGGAGGCTCTGCTCCATGTCAGGGGAACAGTGATACAGTGTGGAGCCAGAGCTGAGTCTTTCCAGCCTGGATGGCTTAAATGCAGCTTTCAGCTTGTATGTAGCAGCTCTTATGAGGTCTCGGGGAGTTTAGCATAGAGTTGTGGGAGATTTATGATGCATAAACTAAAAATAGCAACTTTAATACAAACCTGAACGGTTCATTTGAAATTAACTCTTATGCCTTTCAGTTTGACCCTTTGAACAGGCAGATCCAAGGACTTCAACTCTTCAAACTTTACTTAGCTATTTCATCGTAGATGGTGATGTTATTCAACAAGGCACCCTGATATTTGGTGTTTATTTCCATCAATGTACTGCTGTGTTTGAATTGGAGGGGCTACGCCATTTATTCACAGACTGTGCACAGCAGGAGTAAAGAACCCACAAAAAATACCCACAGACATGTCTAACCATTCTAGCCGCACAGAAAGTCTCATTAGAAGCTTGTTTGTCCTGTTGCAGATAAAATCGCCACGTGGCTGGCTCAGATGAGTACCGCAGGGCTGGTGATCTGGCAAATGTCATTGTGGCGGTTTCTGACTGGATGCTACACGGGCATCGCCATGGTGGTCCAATTTTTCTTTTTTTTTTCTCATGTGGAATGCCCCGTTCCTTTTTTTTAATGTTTACAGACAGATGGCCTGAGATTTGTGTTGGCATCAAGCCCAGATTTGACACCAAAACGGTGAATTAGAGAGGAAAATGAAAGGGAACTGTTCTAAAAAAGAGCTTGTGGCTGTAATGCAAGTTGGTAACGAATTGATTTGACTTGGAGTTAAATTTCAAATTTCTTGCTTTGGCTAAAGAGAGCTGGAAAAGTATGGGAGGTTTGGAAATCTGCATGTGTCGGTGTGTGTGGGGTGTTGCAAAAATATGCATTTTATTAGTATGTGTCTCTGGATTTCCAACAATGGGGTCTTGAGTTCACTTCTGTGAGATATATGTGTCTGTACACGGTAGTTCTGTTCTCTTTTGCAGTTGGGCTAAAATGTTTTAGAAAGCCAAATTGGTCTAAAATTTGGACAGATATAATAAGAACCAAAACTAAAAATTTAAAAAGAAATATTAGATTTTATTGGCCTGGGTAATCTAAGCATCTTGGCCTTATGTGAAAAAGTAAATGGCCGTCAAAGTTAAGGAACAGTGTGCTTTGATCATGTCCACCTCCAAAACCTGTGCAACTTGAGCTGAAGTATACTATCTGATATAGAGACATTCTTATGCTTTCATTTACTATGGCAGGCCCACACCATCATAGTGCCACCTTTGTGTTTGACTGGGGTACTTTATACATATGAGCTTTTTTTGACCTCCTGGGTGAATTGTTATTGCCCTCTTGGAGTAATTTTGGAATATGCTCCAGTGAGTTTCATCACTGTTAGGTTTTTCTCCATCTGCAGATAGTGGATTTCACCATGGTTCACTACAGTCCTAACAGAAATCTATATGACCTCTTCATTTTTCTGCAGTTCATGCACTAATCAGGAATGACTTTGGCTAGTGAGATTGAGCTCTTCTTTCCTAAAAAGGAGGCTAACCATAGTTAATTAAGGTTAAGAGGATGATTTATTCATTTCTAACACACATGTAGAGCAGTTTAAGTAGCTTTTCCCCCTTAAAAATGACAATTTCAAATTTGTATATTGCATTTGCTATATCTAATGTTTTATATCAGGCATCCCCAACCTCGGTCCTAGAGGCCCGCTGTCCTGCAGGTTTTAAGTTTCCCTGCTTTAGCACAGCTGATTATAAAGATTGCAGTAGACCAAAACCCTGTTAATCAGCTTTCAATTAAAATCAGCTGTGCTGGAGAAAGGAAACCTCTAAAACCTGCAGGACAGTGGGCCTCGAGGACCGAGGTTGGGGATGCCTGTTTTTATATGATGTTTTATATGATCTTAATCACGTGGTTGTGGTTAAAGTAAAAAGAAATATGTAAAAAAAAAAAAATTCATAGCACCGTGTTTTTCCTTGTTCTCTACTCTTTGGTTAGTGAATGATAGAATGTTTTAAATCCCGAACCCTAATTTGTTTCAGGTGCAAACTTTGTGACGCGTAAGATCAGCCGCTCTGTGGCAAAGATTCACCTGGGCCAACTGGAGAGCTTCAGCCTCGGCAACCTGGACTCCAAGAGGGACTGGGGACATGCCAAAGATTATGTGGAGGTAAAACACACAAACACCCAACCCAGAAATCCACACAGCTGTCTATGCACGGCTTCAAAGTTGAACAGCATTCAGATGTGCGCAAAGAATTAACGGGGCATGTTTTCCCAGATCATTTAAGGCCATAATATGTGATCAGCATGAAGCCTTCTATGATTCTCTGCCAGAAGAGATTTTCGGATAGAGAAAGAGAAAGAGACGGCTACATGCTGAGAGGCCACAGACTGTACTCTGGTTTCCCACAACTCACCCATGTCCCAAATCCCTCCAGGCCCACATTGCCATCTCCTAATGGCTGCAGAAGAAAGAAAGATATTAGGAGAACACAGCGTCCTGCGGACGATGACAGAAATACTGTGTTTGTGTTAAGGTAATGGTGCCAGCAGCAAGCATGAGAGGCGTGGGGAGATGAAACGAACAGTGGGGTCACCTCGTCCAGGAGCAGTGTGTTTGAATGTGTGCGTTTTGTGCATGCGTGTGTATGGAAACACGCATTCCTGCATGTGTGTCGGAGTGTGCGATAGGTCAAGGTCGTAACACGTGTGCACGGCTTTTGAGATGAAAGACTCGATGGGTTGCCATGTTTAACAGCAAACGTCTTGCAGCGGACTGTGTTGTTACTGGGGGGGCGATGGTGCTGCATGTGACGGTGAAGAGAGAGCGGTGGTTTGAAGATGTGAGTGAGGGTAAAAGGGTTACCGAGCGCTGCTCCAGCTAAACAGCAGACCACAGCGTGGGGTCAGTGTGTCAGAGCAAGCTAATACTAGTGTTGTTTTATCTTATCGGGTTTGCATGAATGTTTTATTAGAAAATTAAGCTTCATTTGCTTTATTATGCTAAGATAAGGAAACTATTTTATTTATGATTGAAATTGAAAAATAGAAGAGCAAATATTTATATGCATGAGTTTGGGGTGTAACTGCGCACACATTAGCTCTTCATTACAAACTAAATCTACATACCGCATGCTAAATTATTTTTCTGCCAATTTTTACCTTATGCAGGGTTCCAGCGGGTCCTTAAAAAGTCTTAAAAGGCATTGAATTCTTCTAAATTAAACTAAGGCCTTAATTGGTATTAAAATGTCTTAAATCAGTCTTTCATAGGTATAAATTTTTAAAACATCATAAATAGGATTATTTTTATTACCATTTAATTTTGTAATCTAAATAAAACATTAAAATTGACTATTTTTTTTATTTTAAAAAAATAACGATTCGCCATTATTGGTTCCGTCCCGATAGCGGAACCAATAAAAGCGTTGTTGCGGCCGGGACATTTGGGAGATGCGCCATTAACTTTTCGTCTGAAAAATATGAGCAAGTGTAAATGTAATCAAAATTCTCTATCCAGCCAAGAGTTTTCTCCATGGCTAAAACCAGGGAACATACATGAGGCACGGTGTATTTTGTGCAAGAAGCGATTCAAGCTCGGAACGATGGAAATTAAGGCAGTGGAGTCGCACATGCAAAGCACGAAACACAAAGCGTCAAAATGGAGTTACTGAGAAATAGCCGGTATTTGTCAGTTTTGTTCCACCCTTGTCTCTGCAACGCCTCCACTTATCACCAAATCAAACATACTAAGAAAACGATACAAAGAAAAATAGCTGCAAAAAAGACTTAGCACTGGTTATGTTGTATTTGTTTTGTTCACTGCTAAAACAAAATTTAAGAATTCACTTAAATAATTGTTAAAATATATCTGTCATTTGTGTGTTTTTAGCTTTCTTCCTGTATGGGAAGCTTTTCAAAATTTGAAACATTGGTGCAGTGGTTTATGTTAAAATAAACCTTTGGGTTAAGTTGTCGCAAGCAGATTTTTCTTGTGTTTCTTGTAAATTTGGTCTTAAATTTTTATTTCAAGTGGCATTAAAAAGTCTTAAAAAGTCTTGAATTTAACTTGCCTTATGCTGTAGGAACCCTGTTATCAACAAAACAAAAGTGATTAGTTATAGTAGAAGGCTAACAGCACACCACAGCACCTTCTTTTAAGCTCTGTGGTATGAAGTGATCGATGCTTAAAAACACAAATTATTTAGCAAAAATATGTCACAAAACTTGAGGTAGTTACCCTTTCCTTAATGAGAAGTACTTCAGACAAAGTCAAAAGTGTTTGCTTGGAATATTTTGCCTTTAAATTAATGCAAAATGAAATAAGAAAAATAAGAAAGAATTTGATAAACAGTCACCATTTGAAAAACAAATATTAAATAAAAAATAAATATTTTACTTGCACTGTGACACTGTTTCAACAGTGCATGGCGTTTAAAAGGATTGATCACACGTTTAACATTTGTTTTCAGATCAACCAGGCTTTGAAATGCACACAAGCCTTTTGGCCTTTCATATATCAGCCATGTTCCACTTCTGCCAACGATTTACCCAGAACTAGGGGAGGCTCATCAGAAGAAACAGTTAGCAAAAAAATGTTTTTTTTGCACATTTAGTATAACAATCATCAAATTAGAGAAATAATTAATGAAAACTTCAACACTAAATGCAACAAACAAAGCAACTATTTTTAACACATAGTTTCTTTAGTATTTGTTTTCCAGTAAGCTATGCGGTGCTATAATTGGCCATCCCTGCCTGTAGCCTTCAGGAATAAAACAAATATCATCATAATCACTGAGTCAAACCTACTACTGGTATGGAGTGCTGTAGTTGTCGTTATTTACACATTGCTAGAGTAAGGTAAAAAGTACATAACAGAACGGAATTGTCCTTTCCATTGTTTCGCTATTGAGTAACTTACACCTTCACAAATAAGAGTCTAATTATGTACATTACAATGACCAATGTCCAACCAGGTGTCTGGCCTGTTAGATGCCCTACGGACCTGTATTTTTAGACAGTAATAATATTAAAAGTTAATCCAACAGTGTGCAAAAACTGATGAAGAGTCAACTGAGGGTAACTAGTCATGTAATGAATCACGTATCCAGATGTAAGATCATAGTGTTAACAAAAATGTGCAGCGTAAAATGGAAGTTTGGCTAAAAACATAACTGTTCTTTTTGTGTAAGGACAAGATTGGTTCCTTTAAATATATATATTAGTTTTTATGTTAATTTGGCTTTTATTTTGTATGTGCAGCTGTCTGTTGAGAGATGGGTGTGCGAGTACTTGGCTGTCCAGGGCACCCTGGGTTGAGATGCACCAGGTTTCCTGTGGGAACCGTGACATTCCAGCTCTGGTGAATCAGGCACCTCCTGTTTCGGAAAGTTTTTTTGTCCTTTTAATTCCAGGAAGCCAAACAGAAGCTGGAGGTACAAAGACGGGGGGGGGCTTGATCGAGAGCAGAGATCGCAGTAGCTTTGTACTTCATACGTAAATGAACCATCTCACTTACTGAAAGTTCATCCCACCCACCAGACCACCAAAGCCCACGTTTGTCTATAACGTCTTTCTCCATGCCCATCCAGCTACTACCAGCCTGGTGTCCCCATGGCAGAGCCAAACAACTGCCTATCAGTAAACAGAAACATGTGTGTCTGCTTTGGGCTGACAACTGCTTTTCCTCTCCTCCTGTCTCCCTCTCGTCACCCCACCCAGGACAGGGAAATTGCTCCTAATTGGCTGTGGATAGATTGTGGGTGGCAGCAGGGGCGTGCTATGTGTCTGTTCTAACGACGTCTGAAGGCGTGCGGCTTGCTGGGCATCGTCTCAGCCGGGTATCGGGTGTCCGTCCCAGCCAGGCAGACAGGCCCCGAGCTGCCCAGTCACTCCAAACGGAGCTCTTTATGGTTATTGTAATATGAAATAGATGTCAGGAGCTCAATTCTTTAGTATAAAATCGGCATAAAAAATAATTTAAATCCCCCTGATCTCATTTTCCGTAAAAGGGATTGGAATGTTTCAGTTTGATGACTATTTAAAGCATAAATTGGTTCAACGGCTCTGTGATACAGGACAGATTGCTGATTCTGAGTCTGCCAAGAAAAAAGAAAACCACAGGAGTTACTCACAAAAGCTCTGAACTAGCACATATAGATGTATTAGAATGCCATTCAGGGTTGGTAAAGCTGCGCAGATTCCTTAATCTGCAGATATTCCTTTTTTTCTTACAAAGAAGGTAGGCGTTAGAGTTAGCTGGAATAGCTTTATGCTTTAGACTTCTTTCCCATCAAGCTTCACTTTATCGTCATTCTGAAACTGTTCTTCACCACTTTGTTACATGTTTTCTACACAGTTTTATAAGACGGAAAATAATGAGTCTTACTTGAATCACTTTCTTAATCCGGATAATTATGAAAAAAAGAAACAAAAAATAAAACATTTTAGTTTCCAGACTTATTTCCACTTTTGTTATCTACTGTAAAGGATTTAAAAAAATGAATGTTTGCATTTGTATCTGGATCACAAATAGTTCCTTCTTCAAAGTAATTTATTGTTCATTTCTGTTGTTAAATTATTTGAGTTAACATTTCTTTATTGATAATCTATAGTTGGTGAAAGAATCAAATCTGACCCTCTTCTGCAGTAGAGTGAACCCATGTGATGTTTCAAAGCTGTCTCTTTTTTAGCCATCATCACACTAAAACAAATTTTTAATTGGATGACTCACCTATTCCAGGTCTAGCAATTAAATTCAAAGTGTTAATGGTATTAAAGTAAAATTGATTTAACTTATACAAAAATACATAAAGCAGTGGGCTGAAAGTCAACCGCAGCATTTTGTAGTTTCACAATTAGTTGATCATGACTACAGTAAAAATGGAACTGGATATTTTTGTATTCATACATATCTGGAAAAGCTTAATGGTTAGAAAAGTATTAAACTTTGAAATAAAGAAACGAGTGGGAGGCCTGTTGTGGATTGTACTTTGTGTCACAGACTAAAGTACTAAATTGTTTTCTTTGTCTGAAACTACTTTGGCTGAAACCTAATTACCCTGGAATAGAAACCGACCTTCTGACCCAATGTCCTGACAACCCCTCTTCTTTGTCTTATTCCTCTTTAAACCATAATTACCAGTGAAAACGTTGGTCCGTGGA